CGCGGGACACCGGGGCACGCTGCGAGCCACCGCCGGACGGACGGACGGACGGGGGATAATCATTTGTCTTGACTTCGCCCTAGCAACGGCGTGTTCATTCTTCTTGCGCGCCCGCGCAGCTTCGCCTCGCCCACACGCACGACATAAACGAAACGAAACGATTTCCCGGTTAAGAGTCTCCGTTCCACTACGATCTCACCCCCCAACCTACGATCTCAACCCCCCAGCGGCGGCGGCGTCGACGGACGGCGGCGGCAGCGACGGCGACGGCTGCGGCGTCGACGATGACACCAAACGGACGCCGGAGCCTCCAAGCAATTTTCACTCGGCACCCGTCCAGCAACCACCGAACGGACGACGACCGACGACGACGACGACGACCACGACGACGACGGCGGCGGCGGCCAGCGACGAATACGTCGGCGACGGACGCCGCTGACCAGCCGCTACCGCTCCCACTGCAGGGACAAAATGTTCCTCGGACCGCTCATGGGAACATGATCGGGGGGATCTCTTGGCGTAGTGCTGGGCCGTATCGACACGATCCTCTTTCGCGCTTTGGGCGTTGGAGCCGGGTTGCAGGCCCCCGTCCGTCTGTCCTACTGCTCCTCTCCAAACCCTCGTTCCCTAACCTCCCGATCATGTTCCCGGCCCCCCGTCCCTTCCCCCCAGAGCACCGCAGCAGTAGGAAAGCGTTCCGACATGGTGAGAAATCATGTTCCCGGAAAGCGTTCAAGAATATGAATCGTACGTCGTCCAAGGCGCCTCGGAAGGCGCAGAATACTCCTCCAAGGCGCGGAATCATGTTCCCGGACCGCCTTCCGGGAACATGATGGGGACGACCTCCTGAGGGCCTCCAGTGGGCCTCTTGGGGGCCTCTCAGAGGCCTGTTGGGCTTTCCTGGAGGCGTCTTGGGGCGCGCTCAGGGCCATTTTTGGGCATCTTGGGGGCCTCTGGGGGCCTCCGGGGAGGCTCTTGGGGGCCTCTTTGGGGCCTCTTGGGGCCTCGCGGGGCCCTCTTGGGGACCGCTGGGCTCGCTTAGGCAGTCTTGAAGCCCTGTCGGGGCTCTCCTGGAACCGTCTTGGGCGGTTCCTGGGCCATCTTGGGGCTCTCCTGGGCCGTCTTGGGACGATTTTGGGGGTCTCTTGGGCCGTCTTGGGCGGTCTTGGGGGCCTCTTCGGCCGTCTTGGAGCGGTTTTGGGAGACTCTTGGACGGTCTTGGAGCGTCGGAACCCCGAAAAAGCGAGAAGGCAAAACTCGAAACAAAAACGATTGCATGGAATGCCGATTCGGGCCGTGAGGCCACTGCAGCACGTGCTGCCTGGAGGGCGGCAGGCCCTCTCCAGGATGGAGCCAAGCAAAAATGCCAAGTCAAGAAAATCCGCCGACCCTTTTGGGATCTTTAGGCGCGTGAGATAGTTCCCCCCTTCACCTTCCCAGGGACCCCAAACTGAAAATGTGAGCACTCCTTTAGCGCCCGGTTTTATTTTTGCATTGGCGCCCTTTGCAAATGGCGACCAAGACGGG